CAGTTTAGGGGGGTGTGGCAGAGTCTTAACTTTGATAAAGAATATCTCTTTGGTTTTGAGACTTTAGTCTTTGCAACTTCAGGGATCTTATCTATGCACAATCAGCTTGTAACACTCCAAAGAGAAAGGAAAACTTGAAATCGCATCATATGACCCCTTTAAGACTTGTTATTATTATTTTTGAAGTTTTTTTTTTTTTTTTACAGTTATGTGAAGATCTGATGCATTTCTTTACCTTAACTCTCCAACAGAGTGAAAGACATAGAAGATGAGGATGAGATGAAAGCCGACTCCAAGCAAACATCATTCTAAGAGGGACAATCAATTTTTTCTTAAAAGGTCAAAGACAAAACATTTGAACTGCAGAATTTCTATTACTTTTAAGAAAGTCTGTATTGTTCAGACTTCTAATATCATATAAAGGAGGTGGATAATTATTTATATTAACAGATACCTTTATCTCCAATTAAAAGAGCATAAAATAAGCCACTTATTATTACATTTGTTTTCAATAGTCATCATAATATACCCTTAAACGGCTAGCATTTGACTGAATTTCATAGGTGAGGGTGGGAGAGTGCATCATAAAATGCATTATGAAATGAAATGTGTTTTGGACTCATGAATGTGTATCACATGAATGCATCCATATTAGCATGTGCGCTTCAGTTATTGAAAGCCTGGGTCAAGATAATGAAATTACCAGTATCAAAAAAATCTAGCTGATGCAAAGCATATACTGTATGTGTGTCAGACAGCTCTGCATAATACCAGAACAGAAACTGGACTGCAAATTTGAGGGACTGAAGATCTTGTAAATGAAGTTTTACAAGTTTAAAACAAAAACATCTATCCAGTATTTTTATAGGTGCTTATCTAATATAATATAAAGAAACAGCAATGAAATACTGTGAGTGAATAAAATATTTCTGAACCCAAACCTACCTCTCATTTCAAAGAGTATTTTATTCTTTTTTTAAGAGAGAAAATAAAGTTTTTATGCGTTAATTTTCTGTTGAAATCAACATAAAAGCTACATAACTTGCATAATAACATAACTTTTAAGTTTACTTTGACTGAACATAATGGAAGCCAGTGAAATATACTCATGCATCATGGATGAGCAAATTATGTCAAAAAGAAAGGCCTCAAACAGAGGAAAACACCATTGAGCGGCCCATTTAAGTGGGTTTTTTAAAGAAGAACAGTACAAAATTACTCCCGATTCTTGTGCAGGTCTGAACCACAATTTAGAGGATTACCCTAAATTAGATAAAGAACATGAAACTACCACTCAAATGCATTACCATACTCATAACACAGACATTCCTTTGTGCCACATATTTACAATTTCAAATGTGCATCATTTCAAAATCAAATAATCCAAAGAATATGCATAAATATTGTGTGGTTACAAAAGGGGTCCTATTATGATTTTTCACTTTTTCAATTTTAGTTAGTCTGTAATGTTGCTGTTTGAGCATAAAAAAGATCTGCAAAGTTACAAAGTTCAAAGTCCACTTCAAAAGGAGATATTTTATTTAACAGAAATCACTTTCCAAAAACTACAACGAACGACTCGTTTGGACTACAACGCATATTTTCTACTTTGTAAAAGAGCATAATAGGACCCCTTACAAACAATGGAAATAAATTTTGTCATCAATGACCATGCATAACTTAACATAACCTGGTGGTTAAAGAACTAGAATGCAGGATTCCATGCCGAAAAAGACCAGCAAGGATGTTCAAGCTGTTCAGTGTTGGTCCAGCTGGTGAAGCTGGTTATCCAAAAAAAACTGTGCTAGGTAAGACTGGTGGGAATAAACCACAGCAATTTGTGGTGGTCATTTCAGCAGGGATGATTCCCAAGTTGGTTAAGAAATTAGTCAACAACTAAAGGGCCACAGTACTGTTCACACTTATACAGTTTTTGCAAAGAAACAGCCCTTATGCAGCTTCCATTCTATACTGTAGCTCACCTTTTGAAGCACTGTCTGATTGATAAAGTCCAAATGCTTAGTTGTTCCATCCCAAATGCACAAGCATAGATAAATAACTTGCTTAGTCTAATTACTGTTTAGACGCTTATCTTTACCTTCACACAATACAGCCTTGATAGAAAACACCATGTTTCATTATATAAGCAGTGAGCTGTAAATCAGATAAATGCTGTTCAGAAAAGAGCTGTATAATTGCTTTTGTCCCATAACTTCTGATAAGCCACTTGATAAGATAACAAAAGATAGCATAAGCATGTAATTCATCTCATAAACATCAATAATGTGAACTTTATTGTGCAGAAAGGGTTGGCAAAAAAATAAAAACACAAAAGGAGCAGTCAAAATCGGAGTCTGTTAGATCAGGAACAACCATCAAACCAGCCAGAGAAAAGCAAGATTGTTACATCAACAGTAGTAGTGGAATACCTGTCATGTTATTGAGTGTTTTGATGCATATGTTCCCTGCGACTCTTTCTGCTCCAGTCAGAGATCGCTGCACCACAGGCAAAAACAAACTACTACTAATCAGCTTTGATGGGTTCAGGTGGGACTACGACCGAGATGTGGACACCCCCAACCTGGACAAAATGGCTGAGGAAGGTGTTAAGGCAGCATATGTCACTCCACCTTTCCTAACCATCACTAGTCCTACACACTTCACCCTGTTATCTGGTAAGGAGAAAAAGACAACAGCAATACATTTCCCATTTAAAGTATATAGGCCTAGATAATATACAGTGACACTGCAAAATGCATGTTTTACATAAATGTTACCTTCTCATAGTGTAAATATCTATGATGAATTAGTTCTTAATCAGACCACTGAATATACACCTGTATATGTAAACTTGCTAACATTTGGCATAAATATATATAAGCAAAAACATATAGAAGCAAATTATTTTAAAGAATTTATTTATTTTTATTTATTTATTTAAATTTTTTTACTTTATGCAGCCAAGTAAAGGTTGCTCTTTGCTCACACAAAATTCAGTGTAAAGGAATAAAAACGTATGCATTATGTCTGCTCTGACCCACCTTAGTCGCTAGTAATCACAGTATACAGTTGAAATTGCTGTGGAAATGCATTTATGCCACCTCTGAGCAGCATTACATATTGTGTACATAAATATATGTAAGCAAAAACATATAGAAGCAAATTATTTTAAAGAATTTATTTATTTTTATTTTTTATTTAAATTTTTTTACTTTATGCAGCCAAGTAAAGGTTGCTCTTTGCTCACACAAAATTCAGTGTAAAGGAATAAAAACGTATGCATTATGTCTGCTCTGACCCACCTTAGTCGCTAGTAATCACAGTATACAGTTGAAATTGCTGTGGAAATGCATTTATGCCACCTCTGAGCAGCATTACATATTGTGTAAAGACACTTAAATACCACCTCAGCAGTGCTGCTGTGACACATTTATAGTGTAAATTTGGCATAAGTAAAGTTCACACAAGATCACATAATTTGAGCGTTCCTATACTGTAGCCCAAACAGACGAGCACAATGCTAGCAATGCTAATGTCATGGATTTGATTCTTAAGGAATACACAAACTGATAAAACATTTACCATGAATGCAATGAAAGATGCGTTGGATAAATGTAACCGCCAAATGTATGAACTACTGTTGTCAAAATTAGCGCGTTCACACAGGCGATTAATTTTTTTCATTTTAACGGGTTAAAAATATTTAACGCAATTAACGCAGGGGCGGAGCTAGGGTTGGCCACCCCACTTACAACTGCAGCTTTTGTCTCTTTTTTCTTGACAAGAATTGTGTTTATTTATACACAGAATGTCTTTATGGTCACATCAAACTGGAAAGTTTTCAGAAGCACACTCCAACTTCGCCTCAGCGCCAGGCGCTAGTCAAACAAGTGCAGAAAAAGTACAGGTGACAAGGAGCGTCGGTAGTAAAACAGTGAACTGCGATTAGATGAGAGATGTTGTCAGGCCATATGTCATTAAAACCGATTTTTCCTGTCCTGTCAGCCATTATACTGTGCTTGTAGCGTGCTTGAAGCATGCCAGAAAAGGTAAAGAGTTGCGAGAAAATACAATGCCTCTCAGATCCACGTCATGTTCAGCAGCGGCAGCTCTTAAAGCAACCAAAATAACCTAACAACCCAGCTGCTGTGATGTCTGTTAATCAAAGAACAGAAGAAAAAGAGGAAATAAAACCCTTTTGTAGCTTTAAGGATTCATCTATATTTAATTTAGAATTTAGTGTTTGATAACTTTATTCAATTCCTGTATATTTCCTACTTCCACAGCACAGGTAGCTAAATATTACATTATAATGTTTTTTTGTGAAGATTGTTTTAAGTTCACTTAAATTAAAAGTTGTTATTTTTTGAAGTCTAATAAATGTTAAAATTGATAGCTCTCACTTATACTGTAATGTTGGATGGCTATAGCCAGTTAAATATTAGGAAAAAGAACAATTTCATAGAGACATCAGTAGTATTGGTATCAGTGATACTCTCTATTAAACAAATATTAAAGATGCACTGTCTTTGTGTTGTTTCTACATTAATTTGAAGATTGTGAAGTTATTCAAAGCCATATAAAAGCTTTAATGTTAGGTGGGATTAATCGCGATTAATTTAAGAGAAAATGTGCGATTAATTAGTTGTTGTTTTTTTAATCGATTGACAGCACTAGTATCAACCCAAATGTAATCTTCTGGAGAAGTCTCAGCAGAACACAAAACCTAAAATTAGTGACAATGAAAAATAGGCCTATGTATTTTTCCCCAGGAAGGTACATTGAGAACCATGGTGTGATTCATAACAATTGGTTCAATACAACCACACAAGAGAAGAAACAATACCACATGACACAGCTTGTGGATGAATATTGGGATAATGGCAGTCTACCCATTTGGATCACCGCTCAAAGACAGGTACATCTCAAAACATTACAGCTTGACACAAACAAGAATAAAAATAATATTACATCATAAATATACATGTGCTTTAAATAAGATATAAACTTGTAAATGTGTCCTTTCTTAGGGTCTTAAAACAGGATCCTTACACTTCCCTGGTACTGCGGCCACTTACCAGAACGAAACAATCCAAGTGAAGGAGGTGGAACCGAGGTTTAATGACCGCACCAGTGAGACGGCATGGAGGGAAAATGTGGATAAAGTCATGAAGGAATGGTTTAAAGATAAAAACTTAGATTTTGTCACTTTGTATTTTGGCGACCCAGATTCTACTGGCCACAAGTACGGGCCCGATTCTCCTGAGCGGCGCGAGGCGGTCAAGAAAGTGAACCGAACTGTGGGCTACATACGGGAAACTGCTGAGAAACACGGACTCAGTGACCATCTGAACATTATCATAACAGCTGACCATGGCATGACCACCGTGTTCAAAGGAGAGGACGTAAAAGAGATAATACTCACTGACATCCCTGGATTCTCTTTGAAAGATCTGAAATTCCACATGGTGGACTATAGACCTTCTGGGCTGCTGTTGCCCAAAGAAGGGATGCTTGACAAGGTTTATCAAGCCTTGAAAGGAGGTCATCCAAACCTTCACGTTTACAAGAAAGAGGACATGCCTGCTCGACTACATTACTCCAAACATCCACGCATCCTTCCCATCGTTCTCTACGCAGACCCAGGATATGTCATCAATGGGGTGAGGATTCAGTAAACACCTATAATGGACATATACATGGAAAACATTGTGCTATATGTGATCATTTCATATGTTCTAAATGCTCTTCCAGTTCTACACATTCCAGACCAATAAAGGGGAACATGGCTATGACAATGAGGTCATGGACATGAAGCCTTTCTTCAGGGCAGTAGGACCAGATTTCCACAGAAACTTGTTGGTTGGACCATTTGAGACCGTTAATGTTTACCCTCTAATGTGCCACTTACTGGGGATAAAGCCAGAAATCAATGACGGGTCACTGGATAACACCCGACACATGCTGATATCCAACGGAGAGTCATGTGATTCTGGAGGTAGATCCAAATAAAAGTTTTTCAACTGTTTCTAAATTCAAGAAAATAAAAGTGGTTTGTTGACTGGCAAATATTTATTCATCATGCTGGCATTTGGTCCCATTTAGTCTATAATATAAAACATAATATCTGTGTTGCCCGTAAGAGAACTTCTGAGTTAGCATGATAAGATATACAGTAGGTGCCTCTCTTTAATCCTATATTAATTACATTAACATACAGTACACTGCGAACCAATTCATCTTATCATCAATGACATAACTTTCAGGTCAATCAATAAAAGAATTTAATTCGCAATACTTTTTTCCCCCTTTTTCTCACAGACGTTGCCGAGTCGAGTCTTCAGAATGCGTTCATTGGTCTTGCTGCTGTTGCTGTATTTTTATTGCTTGTGTTTGTGGTTGTTACATCCTACAACGGATATAAAAGATGCAAAATTAATCCAAAGTATGGCACAGAGCTACATTAAAGGGGTCATATGATGTTTTTTTAAAGATCATTATTTTGTGTATTTGGTGTAACAGAATATGTTGACATGCTTTAATGTTCAAAAAACTGATTATTTTTCAAATACTGTACATTATTGTAGGTCCTCTATGCCCCGCCTCTCTCAAACGCTTCGTGCTTGACAAGGTTTATCAAGCCTTGAAAGGAGGTCATCCAAACCTTCACGTTTACAAGAAAGAAGACATGCCTGCCCGACTGCATTACTCCAAACATCCACGCATCCTGCCCATCGTTCTCTATGCAGACCCAGGATATGTCATCAATGGGGTGAGCATGAAGTAAACATACATGGACAACATTATGCTATATGTGATAATTTCATATGTTCTAAATGTTATTCCAGTTCTACGTATTCCAGACCGACAAAGGGCAACACGGCTATGACAGTGAGGACATGGACATGAAGCCTTTCTTCAGGGCAGTAGGACCAGATTTCCACAGAAACTTGTTGGTTGGACCATTTGAGACTGTTAATGTTTACCCTCTAATGTGCCACTTACTGGGGATAAAGCCAGAAATCAATGACGGGTCACTGGATAACACCCGACACATGCTGATAGCCAACGGAGAGCCATGTGATTCTGGAGGTGAATCTGGAGGAATCTAAATAAAAGTGCATATCTTATAAATGTATAGTGTATACGTATTTAATATCTTAGAGGTCCGAGATAAGAATTATTTTGATTATTTTAAGAGGTAAAAATGATCATACTTTAGAAAATGTGATATTTAAATTACAGACAATAGCAATAATCTGCTATATAATGCTATATTATACTGCTATATAATGTCAAACTCAGTCTCTGCTTTGCTCTTACCTATCTTTACAGTTAAAGACAACTTATCATGATAGTCATCAGATCTGGTATTTTGATAAGGTATCTTGATAAACCTGTAAATTACACCATTCAAACAAATAATACCATCAAATTGTATCACTCTTGTCAGTAAATGGATAAAAACCTGCAAGGAAAGTATTACAACTCTTTTACCCTGACCATATGACCCCATGAACCAATAACACATGATGAACCAGCACTATCATCATCTTATCACAAATTACATAAGTTAAAGGTCATCAATCAACCTTTTTTTCTTGTAGATGTTCCCAAGTCAAGCCTTCATGATGTGTTTGTTGGTCTTGCTGCTGTGGCTGGATTTTTACTGCTTGTGTTTATGGTTGGTACATCCTACAACATGTATAAAAGACGGAAAGCGAATATGAGGTACGACAGATCTCTCACCTCTCTATAAAAATCTGATGCATTACTTAACCTTCACTCTCCAACAGAGCGAAAGTCATAGATGATGAGGACCAGATAAAAGCTGACTACATGCAAACATCGTTTTAAGAGGGACATTCACTTATTCTTGAATTGCTTGTCATTTAATACTACACTGGGATCCAAAAATCTGAGACCACATTGAAACAACATTTAGGGCCTTTTTTGCATTTAAACCTTGGTGTAAGGTTTTAGGAATTTGGATGGATAGATGTATGTATGGATGTATTTAAAAATATTTTATATTTAAGTATTCACATCAAGGCATCTCAAGTACACGTGTCAATAAAAGAGAGGAACATACTGTAAAATACTAAGATGTATAGAAATTCATATTCAATGTACATTTTTCAATTAACCCTTCATTCATATTGTTATGCTGATGAAATAATTTGTTATTAAAATATTCTATTAAATTAGAAATGCTGAAAATATAGTTTATAATTTTAAAAAGTTGTTTTAAATGATAAATGCTAATAAAATAATTTGTAATAAAAATGTTGTTTTAAATTGTTTTAAAGCAAACTGCAAAATAGAAGCATTTTGACTGGTTGTCTCAGACTCTTCACTGCTTTATGTTGATTAATATGCAGCATATTTTATACAGTATATACTGATGCCATCTAGTGGAAATAGTGAGTATTTTCAAACTCAAAACAATTGTGACTGTACTGTATGTGAACCAACTGCATTCAATTAAATACTAACTGTTAACGATGAAAATCACACATTATTTACTAAATTCTTGAGATTTTCATTCCTTCCGATTCCCTTGCATGCACACACACACATTCAATTTAAACTACACACAATAGGCTGCACAATACCAGTCAGTTCTATGGAAAAGCACAAAGCAGAAAAAGAGCTTATGAGGACTAAATGACTGACAGAAGTTATCATTACACAAAGCTGCAGATTCAATGATTTATGGTGAAATCCCGTCCAGTCATGTGGAATTTTCCCAAAATAAGTTTAAGTAAACAGCTCATGACAAAGAGGCACTCAGAGCAGGCTGGTATGCATAAACAGTTTGAACAGTGTGCTGCAGTGTAGCCCCCTCCAAACACATTCACACATACACACACACGTACACACACACACTCAGTCACCCGCCAGAGCAGAGCCAGTCTGGAAATGTGGAGTCTCTCCCTGGCACGCGCGCCAGACTCCCTTCCATCTTCCAGTGCAATAACATTTCTCTGTCTCTCTGTCTCTGTCTATTGCTCTACTACTGTTGCAGGACACACACTCTTCTCCTGTCTGCAGAGATCATCCTTTATGCTGTTGGATGCAGGGCACTTTTAAAGCAACATAGTCTTGAATGCAGAAATTTAGCACACTACAATCAACGAGATGTCTCTCAGCAGACATATTAAACCTAAACATAAGTTAAACTCAGTTGACAATACTTGTCACAAAAATTCATTTAGACCTGTCCCTCCTTTTCTTTCAAAAAAGCACAAATCTGGGGTACAGTAAGTCACTTACAGTAGAATTGAATAGGGCCAAATTTAAACTTTTAACATAATATATTTCAAAAGTATCAAAGTGTAAACAATGTGCATGTCAGTGTTCTTTTGGTGCTTGTGTAGTTTATTAATATTTTGAATAATTAATTTTTTTATTTGAATTGTAGTTAAAGTTTTAGAAATTGTGTTTTGTTTTGTTTTGTTTCACAAAAATTCATTTAGACTTGTCCCTCCTTTTCTTTCAAAAAAGCACAAATCTGGGGTACAGTAAGTCACTTACAGTAGAATTGAATGGGGCCAAATTTAAACTTTTAACATAATATATTTCAAAAGTATCAAAGTGTAAACAATGTGCATGTCAGTGTTCTTTTGGTGCTTGTGTAGTTTATTAATATTTTGAATAATTAATTTTTTTATTTGAATTGTAGTTAAAGTTTTAGAAATTGTGTTTTGTTTTGTTTTGTTATTTTTATTAGTATGTTTAATGTATATAGTTTTCATTAATTATTATGTATTATTATTATTAATAATTAACTAATTTCTTTAAATGTTGCCTTGGCAACTAGCTGAAATAAAATATATACAGGTGCATCTCAATAAATTAGAATGTCGTGGAAAAGTTCACTTATTTCAGTAATTCAACTCAAATTGTGAAACTCGTGTATTAAATAAATTCAATGCACACAGACTGAAGTAGTTTAAGTCTTTGTTTGTTTTAATTGTGATGATTTTGGCTCACATTTAACAAAAACCCACCAACTCACTATCTCAACACATTAGAATACTGCATAAGATGAATAAAAAAACATCTTTCCAGAAGGCCAACAATTCACTAAAAATGTTTTTTTTATTGAAGTATGAAGTTCTTATGAAGTATTCTAATTTGTTGAGATAGTGAATTGGTGGGTTTTTGTTAAATGTGAGCCAAAATCATCACAATTATAAGAACCAAAGACTTAAACTACTTCAGTCTGTGTGCATTGAATTTATTTAATACACGAGTTTCACAATTTGAGTTGAATTACTGAAATAAATGAACTTTTCCACAACATTCTAATTTATTGAGATGCACCTGTATTTCAATTAACATTCATTTTTTCAAGTATAGCAACATGTTTTATGGTTTTAGTTTTAGTTAACTATAATAACCCATGATGCAAGTTTTTTCACGATTTTAGTGAGAAAAATCACAAATGGCTTACTAACCTTTTCTGTAGTTATTTGCAAAGTTATATGCAATTTTACAACTTCATCGACATGAAAACATAAACATAAAACAACCATTAAAATTAAAAGAACAACTGTTTGTTTTAATAGAAGAATTAATGCAAGGTCTTTTATAAAATTACAAGCTGCTCATTTCTGCGTTTAAAGCCTTCAAAAATTGGCCCAATGGCTTCCATTGCAAGCATCTCACCATTATATAATTAATTGCATTTTTAAAGAAATTAATCAAATTTTTTTGATAATTATTATGCCACAAATGCTTTCAATTGGGCTTATACTGAATATGTAATATTCCCTTTTGTCAATACAGACATGTATCCTTTTAAACTCAGTAACGACAGATAGGAGACGAGTGTTAACTGCTGTGCTTCCTCTTGAGACCTTGTTATGACTGTCGGTTTGGCCGGTCATAGTGTAAACACTTGGGAATTTCCCTCTGAAGACCTACATAGCACTTTTATTCTATCACAACATGTCAGCTCCTAACCGGGCCACTCTAATATTCTTTGCTCTCATCCATTACTAGCTGTGAGAGCACATGTCAAACAGCCACATTCTTCTGAGTGGATTTTCTCCTTCCCTCCGACTACGCGCATGTCTGCGATGCACAGCGCTCAGAAGAACGGTTGAGCCGGGAAACAAGCATGTTTACATCTGAGGCTTAACAAACGTGCTGAGCTGAAGGGAATGCAGAACATCAGAGTATCAAGAGGATCATGTGGACTATTTTTCCAGGGCTATTTCAGGTTCATAGTGTATTGCTTTTTTGAGCGCCACCTTTATTCCTCTCAACGGGCAGAATATACCAAAATAGTCATCTTATATTAATTTGAACAGTTATATAAATCGAAATTCAAATAGAGAGCCTTTTTATTGTGGTCAATCCAATAAAACTCTCAGTGGATGAGGTTTGAAACCATTTAAACTATTTCACAAGGACCGGCCAAGATGCAATGGTGGTTTTGGTCAAACGCCATGTCTTCCCGCAGCCTTGTCTCGCGTGGGCAGACAAGAACCGTGTCGCCTCGCACTCTGGTGAGACCTCTTAGGGGCTTGCGACGACAGATTTACTCTGACAAGCTCTGTGGTACGGCCGCCTGGCTCCGGACACCAGCACACCTCTCTGATATACCTGTCAATGAGGTGTCACTGCACAGAAAGCGCGCCATGCTTTCTTCTCCAACGCCACCATGGAAACACTGACTCAACACCTCCATATCCTCATTTGCTCGCTCCTACAGTCCTGCCCAAGCAGTTCTGATGAGGCATTCCTTTGAGCTGAAACAAGGCGTTAATCCATGATAACTTCTCCTCGTGCCAGCATGTGGGTGCAGGTCTCTCCTCCGAAGCTTGCCTCATGCTTTCATGCCTGCCAGGTTGAATAACTCTAATGTAGCTGCAAGATTTAGGAGGTAATATCTATGTAAAGAGGGAAATGGTCTCAACAGTAAAGCCATAAATCTGTCATTCGTACTTTGATGGATAGATGCTTCAGAATCGTTTTCGCAAAGTGGCCAAACACAAAAGCTGCCATTCGTCTGTGTCATATATGGTTTAGTTTTACGTATTTGTGCGAGCAGTGAAGTGTACACTATGGCACTAATACGCAAGATGCTTTTTGCAATGTAACAAATGACATCCTTCTGGACGAAGGTTTAATCAAAATCTGGTTATGGATTCTCACGTATATAAAACAGTCAATCGGAGTACAATGAGTCATGTGCTAAATGGAGCCAAACCTCTCTGACTGTGAATATCTAAAGAACAAATTAACCAACAGGGCAACTGGCCATATGCCCAAAGGCCTATGACTACTTCACTTGACCACCACAAAAGAAGCAAGACTTAGGCCCTGTCCCAAATGGAACACTTCATGTGCACTTGCGGTCTTACGGACTTACAATGGCCGCCACGTGCGCGTGTCCGTTAAGTCCACGAGACCATAGGGCAGGGTTCCTCAAATCTTGCCCTGGAGGGCCAATATGCTGCAGAGTTTAGCTCCAACCCTGATCAAAGTCACCTACCTGTGATTTTCTAATGATCCCGAAGACATTGATTAGCATGCTCAGGTGTGTTTGATTAGGGTTAGAGTTAAACTCTGCAGGAAAGTGGATCTCGTGGGCCAGATTTGAGGATCCCTGCCATAGGGTGTCCCATTTGTCATTTTAGTGTTCAGAAGGGTGCTTGCGAGCGCCCCCTTTGCGGCCGTTATGCGCCCTCGATCCGCACTTCTGCCGAGCCCGCACTGGGGCGAGCTCCGCAGCAGACTTCTACCCGACAGTCAAAGCGGCGTTACGTCACGAAAGTGCGGACTCAGAGGAAGACCGCAAGGGTTTAGGGTGCCATTTGGGACAGGGCCATTATGTACAAACA